AGGGTAAAATACATTTCGCACAAAATTTCCCAATACTAATCCAAGACTTAAAAGTTTTAACAAAAGAAAGCTTACAGGACCACCAAGGCCGGTATAACCAGCACGTTCCAGTTCTTCTAATAAGCCCTCCTCACCTATTACATAAACCTGCAGAAACTTTTACGGGCAATGTTAGCATCGTCCAACAACAGGCAGCGGCATAATTGCAAATATATTAGGTGACCAAAAGAAAGGGAAACTAATTTTTTAGCCAAAAAAGAGAAGGTAAAGACAGAAAACTTGGAATAATGGAGCAAATATTTTGTCTAAAAATTGGACAAATAACTTGGCCAGAGTATATTGAATAGTTGAAACTTGAATAATTGCATATTAGGGTTAAGGAAAAGAAAGAGAAGAACAATATTGATGCAGTTAAGGCCCCCATCCAGACGCCACCATCACCGTCAAGACGGTGTTGGCTTGTATCTAAGGTGTGTGCTGCCAACACCCTATCACATATTTATATTTGATTGATATTGAATNCAATATTAAACAAGTAGAACATAATAGGAAAATTGTGTAATACGAAAGTAGAACAATAGAAAAGTGACATAATAGGAAAGAAACATAATATGAAAGTTAAATAATAGGAAAGTAACACTCTAACATAAATAAATAGAGTTTCCGAGAGCAGTGAATTTGGTATGTGGATAAGGATGATAAATTTTAAAATTGATAAGCCACAAGCACCAAAAAATTAAGATTTTGAATATTTGGACATCTACATTGGTAGTCAGGAACAATCTTGTTGCAAAGTAAGTCTCCCAAGGAGCATGTAGGCCCAATCACTCTTGCAGTGCACCACTAATAAAAGATAATGGAAGAAACATATATTTTATTTTCATTATCCAATAATTAGACAAAATCATGGCCAAATGTTTTCTGAATCGGAACTTTGATAACGTAATACATCATAGTCATTCACTTGACTAGCACACAGTGGCAACTATAAAAAGTTCTTGAGTCAAGTTTTTCACTTCAATATCTCTTACTTATATAGCATTGCATCTCTCTAGTTTAAATTGCTGAGCATTGACTCAATAAATTTAGGCAAAATAAAAACTAGCCTTCTTATCTCGAGGAAAGTCAACGAGTTTTAAGTACATAGCGGCAGCAAAAGATGAGGAGAATATCTCATCCTGCAAAAACAAAGATCAATTCAAAATTCATATCCAACGAATCACATTTTCCAATAAGCAATGATATGTATATATATTTTCACAACAAACCTCACAAACGGGAATTCCAAGGGACTGAAACTTCTCAGCATATTGCCTTCTAGACTTGGTCGAATTGTTGGTCACAAACACAAGTTTCTTCCCCTGCAGTCATAGATTCTACACAGATATATAAATATGTGCATACAAACACTAGTTTAAATAGGATAGATTGATGAATGGGAGGTGATAATAAGACCTTGGATCGAAGCATTTCCAATGTCTGGGGAACACCATCAATGAGCGTATTGCCCTTCCAAATTACACCTAATAACAAACACACACACACAAACATTCATACTTAAAAAATTGATCGATGTGATATACTTAAGATGGTTCGAGGGAATAATTACAGAAGAAACATTAAAAAGTATATATAGACCATCGCAATCGAAGAGAAAAGCATCAACAGAAGCGAATAGATCTCGGACGTTTTGAGGAGAGAGAGGCTGAGAAGGTCTCGTTGCTTTACAGTTCTCGACGTTCATCGCTGCAGTCTACGGCTAGGGGTTGCCGACGGGAGGAACGGAGGGTAAAGCTGAGGGGATTTCAGAAATTTTGAGTTGACTACTCTTTTTTTTTTTTACAACTCCAACACTTGTACTCAAAGCAGGAGTTTCAAAGCGTTTATATAGTACACACACTCTAAAGCTATATGACGCGGAATAGTCCCAGTCTATCACACCTAGGCTAAAAGGCCTCTCCGATCATCATCGGGCCGGAGGAATGTAACTAGACTCACGTGGGACCCAAATGTACACATATTTTTTTTTTTTGACCATAGAATAACTCTGACACTTCTATTTAAAGCCGAAGTGTCAAAGCATTCGTATAACCCCACACACCCTAAGGCTACTTGGACTTGGCTTTAAGCAGTAGCGTTGAGCAGTTAAGGCGCATTCCTTACCACTTCCGGATGTCAATTACCCACGAAAATAAATTTATTTAATATGTTATAAATGTTAACTCAGTATTTGTTAATCATAATCAAATTAACACCTTTGCTTCCGAATATCATGTGTTAGTGCATACATACATTACACGTGAACCATTACGTATTATCATTGTGTTAAACATTTTTTGATATGAATTTGTAAATTATTTGTTAATGTTGACCCGAAAAAGATTTGAAAAGATTAAAAAAAAAAATTATGGAGACATACGCAATGCCTAGCTAGTTGTCCTCCATAGATTCTAAGCACCTTGAAGGATTTGTAACCACACTTCAATAATCTCATGTAAAAATTGCTACAACTTTGGGAGTAGGCTTAAGTTTTCCCAATTACTTAATTAATCATGTTAGATGCTTCATGCTATTCCAAATTAATCATGTTAGATGCTTCATGCTTATGTGGGGACTTCCTAGAGAAGGGAAATGTTCTATTAATCTTACAGTATATGGCTTTGTGATTCTAATCGTAAAAATCCTATTTTTTTTAACAATAATTTTAAAGATAACTAAAATCAAGCACCATATAAAGTGTTATAAATACATAGAACGATATGTCAAATCATCTATATATATATATATATATAGATAAGTGGAAGACAAACCACTTTTTTTGGTTTTTGTTGTGGAGAGACAGCGAGACAGAGAGTGAGAGAGAGAAAGATGAGTGTTTATTTTTTTTATTTTCCTCTTTTATTTTTCCTCAGATCTACAAAGATTGAACCTTTTAATCGCTTCAGGCCAAGAACTAAAGTTGCTCTACTCNATTTTTTTTCTCTTTTCTTCCTTCTCAGATCTAGGAAAATTTAACCGTTTAATCGTTTCGGGCCAAGAACTAAAGTTGCTCTACTCAGCGAGAGCTACGCAACCACACCAAATATCGTATTTTTCTTCGAAAGAATATCACAGCTGATAATCTAGGCCAAAAACTTAGGGAGCTAAATTTGGGCTTCCTTGGCGTTCTAGTGAGTGGGCTCACGCTACGAGAGGTAGGGTTTCTCCTATTTAGATTTAATTTCAACTTAAAATATGACATGTGAAATGAATAGACTGTGGGTGTATATCACATGTTAGGTCTTGACTAGTGGGTCAAATATAGAATTTATAATTAATCTTGTGATTAATAAAATTCTATTGTGATTAACTTGGTATAAGTTAATGTTAGTAGTTTAAAGCATGTTAATTGTATGTTAGCATTACTTTATATTTTAATGGAAGATCAAGTTTAATAAAATTATTAACTTGTTATATGATTGTGAAATAATATATATATGTTAAATGATTATTTAACATATGATTATTTTGGTGGACTTTGTGCTTATGTTAAACATGTTATCATGTTGCAAGTCATAGCATGCTAGTTGTGTAAATTGATGTGCTCTTTAGGTGTTTGATTAAATGCCTAGGTGAATACAAGTATGTTAGTTGAGTTGATTATCTTACATAACATGCTTGAGATCGTGTTAAAATGTCATTATATTGTATTCATTATGTAATTGACATTGTATTGCATTATGCATGAGTTGCACTACATTCATGGGCATTGACATGAGTGAGAGTGTATGCATGGTATGAAATCAATTACCACGTAGGTGGTTGATCGTGGACTTAAAAACAGTCGCACTAAGGTTTGGCTGAGTCGCACGGGAAATTAAATGGATAAATGTGCTGGGGACAGCAAGAAGGGCTAGATTCTCCCTTGGGTGCAAGACCCGCTTACTTAGTTTATACACTTTTNCCCATCAAGTTCTATTCACATTATGTCGCCAAAGCAAATACTCATGAATTTGTATCTATTTTGGAAGCTTATCATCAACATGTTTATCATGTAGGTCAATACATTCAAACCTCAGTTGCTGTTAGAAATGAAGTCATTAGTTGATGAATTCAAGATGCTTTGGCCGATGCTGAGCATAAACTTTAAATTATTCAAAGAAGTTAGCTACCACCTACTTTTCAATACACTTTTGTTTCTCTCATAGAAATGGATCTCATTTTTGGTGGCCATTCCTAAAAAATCTCATTTTAAGTTACCCAATAGGATGTTATCACTGTAGTAACATGAATAGTTGGTTGTGCAAGGTTGATGGTAAATTTGTAGTCTTTTATGTGAATGTTTCCGTAAATACTATTTTTATGTACATTTAAGATATTACGTCTCAGATGTATCCATTCAGAAATATATTATGCAATATATTGTACTTAGGCATGATTATTCATGATAAGTTTTTGATTAACAATTGTCTTTTCGACAATAGGAAGAATATGTTTTAGTTCATCTTACAGTATTTTGACATACATCTTTCTTTTTTCTTTTTTTCCTAATAGTTTAGTTTCATCCAAAATTAAACTTATATGAATTACAAAGTATTTTTTATAAGTATATGGCATTGCTGGCAGAAAAGAAAAGATTATCACAAGTCACGGGCCGCTACCAACCATAACTAATTGAGAGCAAAAACTAATTGAACTTTGTTTCATGATTGTAGTTTAGTAGTTCAGGTTGGTGATATGTAGTTTTGCTGAATTAAATTTTTAGATTTTAAGCTAACACAAGTGTTTTGATAAAACATGAATTGTAATGTAATGTGATGAGATTATTAATTTTGGGGTGTGTGATTTTTAGTTAATTGTTTGATTACATAAGTTATGTACACAGTTTGATATTATTCAAATGTCATATCTTTGAAGGAAATTTTTTCAAAATTAAAAAATAAAATGAAATTGTTGGCTCATATTAGTTAGCAGAGAAAAAATAAATATATTAGTATTCACATTCAAAAATAAATCACAAACATAGAGAAAGGATAAAAGAATTTAAACACCAATTGTAGTGGGGGTGAGAAGTGGTGATCGACAGTGGTGATGGTAGGAGACAATGATGGTTGTGGTGGGTGGGAATGACCGTGGTGGTGGTGGTAGCCATAAGTGGCAACAATGATGGTAATAATGATAGTCATGAGTGACGACGGTGGTGGTGGTGGGCAACAGTGATGATTGTTGCTAGTTGTGGTGGTAGGGTGTTGATGGTGGTGGTGGTGGTGATGACGGTGATGGGTAGTGACGATGGTGGTGGTGGGTGACGACAGATGTTTCTGGACGATACTATGATGGGTGGTGGCGAATGATGGTGGTGGTAGGTATGGTGGGGGTGGGTGTCCATAGTGGTGAGTGATAAAGGGTGGTGGTGGTAGGTGTGGTGGGGGTGGGTGATAATGACTGTTGACAACGGGTGGTGGTGGGCAACAATATGTTGGTGGTGAGTGGCAACGATAGTAGTGAGATGATGGTAGTAATGATAATAAATATAAGAATGAAATGATGATAGTGGTGGATGGTGGCGGTGGTGGTAGTGGTGATGGTCGTGGAGCTATGGGGGTGGTGGTGGTAAGGGTGATGGTAGGACGACAATGATTGTGGTAGGGTGGCGACAATGGTGGTGGTGTAGTGGTAAGGATGATGGTGGTGGGACGGGGGGTTGATGGTGGTGGTGGGGTAGCTGTAGTAGGGATGGTGGTGATGGTAGGGGTGGTGATAGTTGGGATGACAGTTATGGGGCGGTGGTGGTGGTGGTTTGGCGATAATGGTGGGGCGATGGTGGTTGTTGTAGTAGAGGCGGTAGTGGTGGTGGTAGTAGGGTGGCGAAAGCGGTGGTGGTGGTGCCGATGTTGAAGGCGGTGATGCTGGTGATTGTGGTAGAGGTGGTGGTGGTGGGGGGTAGTTGTGTGGCGGTGATGGTAGTAGTGATGGTGGTGGGGTTGCAGTGGTGGTGGTGGTGGGGCTGTGGGAATGGTGGTGGGACGGTTTCAATCATCATTTTTTTTGTTTAAAGTAGTTATAAGAAATTATAAGTGCTAAAAGTACTTTTAAAAAATCACCTCAAACACACCCTCAGGAGTCTATTTTTTCTATTAAATTTGGAGTGTTAATATTGACCGTTGAATTAATTTTAAAGTAAAACTTAAAGAGATCTCAATCACAAAAAACAAAAACTATTTTGTTTGTCTTTTGAGATTTGAATTGTATTGTACTTTATTATATATATTGATGAGCTCAAATTTCACTGGGCCAAGCCCAATCTAAATGAACTAAGAAGGCCCAATAAAAATCCAACTGGGGCTGGATCAACCGAGGAGTCCAAGTCACGGAAGTTCAAAAGGAGTTGGACCTGCTCGTAAATTAACAAGGAGTTATGAGGCCGTAAATCAACAAGGAGTCAAGTGGATCTAAGACACTAAAGGCCAACGCCCAAGAGGGCAACGCCCATGGCCAGGCCCTCTTGTTTCTTCCTCCTTTGTCCTCCTAACTCCAACGCAAGCCCAAGCCTACTCCGATTCAAGTTCAAGGACCAGTTCAGGATCATCCTCCGACGGAATAGGGACACGAGCGAGAGAATATCGGGTTACGGAGATCTATCATACTAAGATTGTACTTGCCAAAATTGTGGAAGACTTCTTACTCATGTCACCGCCTCACCACCTTACCCTAACTATATAACAAAAGCCCTCTCAACATTGAGGGCACGCCTCTGAAACTTCT